TCAATTTCTGTTTGAACATGTTCTAAAAACAAAAAATATCTTCATACTAATTTGATCAAAAGACATATACTTTGTATGGTACAGTCCTTATCAATATCATGAAAACACTTAATTGTCATTCGAGAGATCTCTTGTTTAAGATATCGATATTTTTCAAATGAGGATTTCAATTGTATAATAGAAGTAAATAAAGGAGATTGAATGATTATGTCTATTGTTGTTTTCAGTTTAATTAAATATATTGATGACAAGTCACTATCGAGTACTATATCAACATGCAACGATATTTCCAATTCTCTTCGTATATTTATCAATTGTTCCTTCCATTGAACAAGTTCCATTTCTGTATAATCCTCGGATTCACGTGCTGCATACAATTGATTATTAAGTTCACTAAAGATTTTTTGCATTCGAACATTTGTTTCATTAAGAAATTGTTGAAGTTCATTCTGAGTTGTTACGACTACTTGTTGGATTTTGGCAACAGTGTCATGCTTCCAGACGTTAATTCATAAAAATAAACGATCTTCTTGAAGTTTTTCATGCTGACCATAAATATCTTGTAGAGAATCGTGTTCTTATTGAATATTATTAAGTTATGCATACATTTCCTCTTAATGCTTGTTCATACACTGGACACAAAATGATTCACTGTAACCAGTGCATAGTGGAGAAATTTTGCATAAGCAGGCGGACATGTTACTTTCTTGCTCAAAAACGGCTTTTATTTGCTCAAAAATGACCATATATCAGTGACAAAATCATATTTAAGAAAATAAAAGCTTGTTTTAAAAAAAAAATTTTCGCCGAGCAATACCTGAGAGGGACTCCCCAAGGCTCGGTTTCGATTATTGCTGGTTATAACAAAGAAATGGTTGACAAATAATTTAGTTCGATTGAATTTCGAACTAAAATTGTGAGAAACATAATGCGACTAAATTGAGTTTAGATCTGATCGAATTGATTTTGAAAATAGATTATCTTTGCCCTTAATAGAATAAAATTTAGATTTATCTTCAAATTATTTAGTTTAAATTTTCTTTATCTTACTTCGATGATTTCACATCATATTCTATTGTAGAAAATCAATGTATGTAAATAATACTCTATGGATAGAACTAGACAGGTTTATTCAGCAGATATTCTTTAATATTATAAATAAACACTAGTTGTTAAATTTGGAGAATTTATTTCAATTTGAAAAATTTTTCACTCAGATGTTGATCAGCTCTTTGACAAGAAATATGTCTGGTGCAATAAAATATGGCAAAAAAAAATTTGTTCATTCGTCATCGTTTCTATGTTAACGGTCATATTTAACATATATTGTCATTTCTTATGTGGAAGGATAACATGAAGAAATGAAAAAAAATTCGTCTGCCAATGAGTATAAAAACGAGAGTATAACTATGAAGTAATGCACAAATAGTCGTTTATATCAATATATGGCATTGATTACACGTTTCGATGATCTACCCGATTTAGTATTGATCGAGTTGTTCTCATATTTGTCGTCCATCGACATTCTATGGGGATTTACTCATCTTAATCATCGTCTGACAATGCTAATAAATGAACAAGGCTTTTTTTCTCATATTAATTTATCAATTGCACGTTATCATCAATTTAATACAATTCTTTGTTTTCTTCCATTGGATGATATTCAATCACTCGCAATTGATAGTGATGCATCCCCACTTCAATTAACTCGTTGGCCTTATTTACCTCGTTTGAGAACTCCGCGTATCATTGGCGCATATAATTATGATGATCTTTTATTGTTTCTTTTGCTTCATGCAGCTACACTCACGCATCTCATCATCAAATCAAACAAAAGATTGATTTCGGTAAGTATCAATGATTTATTTGAATACATGCAAAGCTTTACAAAGAAACGAGATTATTTAAAAATAAAGATTAAGAATGTTGAATAGTTATTCTAGTTCTAAATTTGTTCGTAATGTCTTAAATCAAAATGAGAAGAAAATTCTAGCAAAAACCATGTTACTGTAAATACATTGTGTGAAAAATAAATCTTTTCATTAATAGAAAAATTTCAATCTGAATAAAACTAGAATAGAATATGTTAGAAGCTTTATGAAGGATAAATTGATTCTTCGTTTAGTTATAGGAAAAACGAGATCACTTTTTCAAAAAAGAAATTTTTATAAAAGTACAGTAAAATTTAAATTCCTAGATATTATAATGAACAATAAAATACGCAAGGAAAAAGTATTTAGTTTAATGCTTTTAGAAGCCATACCGTGAATATATACATATGTATCTCAGTGATGTATGCGATTAAAAATCATTTTAGAACTGTGAATCTTACACTAGAAACATCATGATGGATAATCTTTCATTGAGATATTCAAATATAAAATTGATTTTTTTCATTTGATATGAAAAGATCTTTCTAAAATGACTATAATATTAGAGAGGAATGTTTAGTGATATAATGAAGGTATTTCATTTAATCGAGCAAAAGTTATCATGTGTTTTAATTTTTCAACAATTTTGTTGTAAATATATTTCAAGCATATTTTGTTTGAATCAGTATTACGTACACTTGTATTTTTAAAGTTGATAATATATCGAAAATCTCTATGAGATAAAACATCGAACAAGATACTTTGCGTTCAACAATATGCAACAATAGAATGAGAATCGTTTCAAGAGATTGAAGATTTTTTATCGATCATAAGAAATTGTTTAGAGAAAAGTTTCTTATGAATTTGTAGAATTTTAAAAGACCTGATGTTAGCTACTCATAAAGAGTTTCTTTAAATAGAAACTTCACATTGACAATCGTTTTTAAAAGCAAAATACTGCTACTCTGAATCTCACCGTCACAAATTAGTTAGAAATAGTCTTAAGTCACAATTCAATGATACTTATATACTGGTTTTTTAGCATGGTTCTTCGATTAAATTCAATTATCCAACAGGTGACATGGTGATGTTATTAAATAATATTCTTCTTATTCATTTATCTGCACTTCGATCTCTCGATTTGGGTATGAAATATTACAGAACATGTTGGCCTATTACTACTGCAGTAGTTCCTCTTACCTATCTACGTCTTTCTTTGCTAAATATGGATATCTTAATTCGTCTTATGTCAACACCACCACTCTTCCAAACATTACGTCAATTACACTTACAAATAGGTGACAGTGACTTCAACAGTCATTTTTCTGTATCAATGTTTCATCTATCGATTCGAATGATTAATTTACACACATTTACTTTTGTTCAAACATTTTTCTCGATGTTAACCATTGAATGGACAGTTTTCGAAATGCTGACATCTTCAAAAATTATGCCTGTTCTTCGACATGCCAATGTGTCTATCTTTATTAATATTAATGATTTAAATCGTATTGGTTCATCATCACTTTTTACTGATCATCGTCATGTTGATATTCATTTTGTTTTCAATCTTATCAATTGTCCTCAATACATCAATGAGTCAATATATACCACGTGGTAATTGTTTTCATCCACGCGAAATAGTCGGTGCAACACTTCTTGTTAATAATTGGTCTGATAGATCAGAATGGCTTACGGATGGTGATCCTTTTGTAAGTTAGTCCGATTATATTTTGCATTTATATCACAATAAGACATGAAGAAAAAAAGAAATCTTCCTTTTTTACTTAATAATCTAAGGTTGATCGAATAATATCTTAATATACTTTATATTTATAGAGTCGCGGACGTCAATATTATCATAATATGTGGTATACTCTTCCATGGGCATTTGATGAGTTCTTTCACGAATATGTTCCATACAAATGGATTACTAAAGTACAAGTGTTTGAACAACCTTCTCAAAAAATAATGACAATTGATCAATCATCTCTTCGTACACTAGATGCATCAGGTCCAACTTTGGCATCATCTATATACTCTTTACCTCATGTGGTTTTATTTGATTGTATTAAAACGTTCCACTTGTCCTTTTGGAATACACCTGTTCCTATAGAATTATCTACTCTTTGCAATATAACTCTTGTCAATAGTATTGGCTTTTTGAACGATTTATCATTTCCAACAAATGTTCGTTCTATTCGTATTCTACTTTTTTATAACTATCCTAATTATATGCTGCCAAACTGGTCAATGGTTTTACATACACTTTCAACTTGGCCACAATTGCGTTCATTACGTGTATTTATGTATGACTTACCAGAAACTGTCGATGATAAAAATTGTGAAATAATTGCAAAGATAGCATCGTTAGTTAGCGACTTTGGCTTTTGCTTTAGACATAAATTCGGTTTGGCAGATGCTGATGAACTCAAAACTGTATTTAAAAATCATAAAAAATTTATTAAACAATTAGGCGATTGTATTCTATTGTCTTTTGACAAACAACAACCTTATTATTCAATTGAAAAAGATGAATGTGGACTCATTATGTGGTTTTAACTAATAAAAAAATATTGACAAAAATCATTTTCAATTGTGATGAATCTAGTGAAATAGTTTTTTTTTGTAAAAACATTATCCATTATTTTTGTTGTTATTGGTTAGAAAATTGACTGTCAAGTCAGCTCATCAAAAGAAATAAAATTTTTGTTTTTATTGTAATAGTCAATGATTTTGGAAAAAGAACTGTTTTCAAGTAGATCTTTATGAACTAGTTGATTTTTGTGTAGTGTATCATGTTGTATTCAGATAAATGAGTACAAAGTATTTTTCATTTTTGTACCGAATTTTCTAAGCAAAATGATGCCCTCTTTGCTCAATACGGAGAATCTAGTGATTACAATTAACAATGATGATTCTCGAGGATCTTAAGTGATACGCAATATTCTATAGATTTTTCTTTTCTGTCTAATGGTACTAGACGCCTCAAAACTACGAGAAGACCTCGGAGGCTTTCTACAAGAAAATAAAAGCAGAAGAAAAAACAATTTTTTTTAAATTAAATAGTTTTATTTAAAAAGTTTCCTTGTAATAAATTTTCTTTTTTAATCTTAATACACCATTCCAATCGAAAGTTAATTTTTTCTAAATTAAACTAATATTAATTTAATCAGAGATAGCAATTTCGAATTTGGGTTAACTTCCAAAGACAGTTTTGTTAGCAGGAATTTTTTTAGTAACATTTTAATAGTCATGGACGGAAGATGGAGTGAACCTGAATCAACATATGTTGGAGTTGTAGTAGGAATTCGTAGTTGATAGTTGGTGTTAGGCTGAATTTGGAATAGAACTTATTTAGTTTTTAATATGACATCGAACAGCATGTGTGTTTCAGTGAAAGTTAAAAAAAAGAATTTTTAAAAGACCGAAAGTTGAGATTTGATAGAATTTTGAAAAATATAGATAAAATTAGAATGATCCTTTGGGAATACAAATGGATTGGAGTTGATCATCTGTGACTTTAACAAAATTATTTTGTCTTGTTTCAATAAAAGCGAAGTTAATGTAAAATTAACAAAACTTTTTAGTTATAATTAAGATAAAATAAAATCAATTGATTATAATTATTTTAGTTATTTGAATTAAAGCAAAATAAATGCAACTTAATGTAACTAACTTATGTGATTTCATTCATTTACTTGTTTTTAATGTATGATTTGATGTTGTTGTTGATGATGATATTGAATTAATTAAGAATTGAAGAATAAATGGTACTAATGAATCACTTTTATAAATTTTTTGCCAATTTAAACAACATTGAATACTTATATCTTAACATGATTTTAAATGATCAACAAGACGCATTAATGTAACATAAGGAATTTGCGTTGAAATTGTTTTGCATTGATCATTATTTATTAATGAAAAATTTTCGTGAGAAATATTTTTTCTTAGTTTCATTTAGGTTTGTTGACTTAACATATAAATCATGTAGTAATTTACGATATTTATCACGTGAATCATAGATATACATAAGTAATTTACGGATTTGACATTCGAGAAATGCAGATTGGGATAAGATATAATATTGACATAAACATTTTTGTCAATCGAAGAAAAATAAAAATGAACGTGAATCAGATGCACAATCGAATACTTTTTTTTTCATCTATGAATTACAAAGAAAAAGAAATATTTAATAGATTGTTTTTTGTTATTCTTTACTTATTTGGTATGATAATCTTGTTGAAATTTCTGCTAATAATTCCGAATAAGCTTCAAAAACATCATTTGGATAATATTTTGTAAATTGCTAATAAAAGAAAGGTGACTAAATCCGATAATGATTGTTGATTACCAACTTTTGAAAGAACTATTAAAGATGTTGATGATGTTTGTATATTTGTTGTACCACTTGGTGATAAAACAGTTTATTCATTTAATACATTTTCATCAGTCGATTGTTTTAATAAATATTTATAAACAATAATTAGTAACATTTGATTTATCTAATTGTTTAGCTGCTATTAATGATAAATGTATCTATTGTTCACGTTCATTCGGACGTACTAAATAATATACAACGAACAAATTGTTGATTATCTTCTTCGGATTTCGAAGCAAAGTCAATAGTTAATGTTAATAATAATTGTAAATAATCTATAGAATTTAAACCATTTAGTATTGAGTTATTTAATAAATATTCATCAAGATTATCTAATAATTTTTCAACAATTAAATGTTTTAAATCATATAAACGTTGTTCATAAATTCCTGAATTAATTGTTTCATTTATATTTAAGTTAATGTTGAATTCGAACCATTTGATGATGATGGTAGCGGAGGAGGAGATGGAACTGATGTTGATGTATTATTATTTTGCTCCCTACCTTCATTTGTTGTTAAATTTTATTCCGATATATGACAATCATTGCTAGGGGTGTCATTTACCGTTTAATTTAAAATAAATATAAATTTTTTACTTTTTGTAATTTATCGAATATAAATTAAAATAAATTATCATATCTCTGTATGATACTTTACATAAGAAATATCCTATTCTTAATATTATATTTATGTATAATTTATTTGGTGTACTATCTTTTCATTCAATTAATAGGGGTCTACGAAAATTGGTCGAACGAAAATTGGGCGACATGAAAATTGATCGAAGAGAAAATTGGTCGAAAATTTTTGTTATAAAAGAAGAAAAGCTTTTACTTAAACAGAAGCTATAACTTTTAAGAATAAAAGGAAAATCTAGACTAGTTATATGTATGAATACTAATATTAAATATATCTAATGATTCAGAGAAAAAAGTTAGACAAATACAAAAATCAATAGCAGTTTAGAAACTATGAGCCGGTTCTCTGATTGTTGTAGTAGCGTTGCCTGTCTCGAAAGCGAGACTATATGTGAGGATGAGAACAAGGTTGTAGATACATTCTTATGGCAGACAACCTTACTGCACCAATTTAAAGGACTGCCTTATAGTTTCTAAACTACTATGGCTTTTTTGTACTTGTCTAACTTATTTTTTTGGATCATTAGATCTCTTTAATATTAGTATTTTTTATTAATATAATTAGTCTAAGTTTTGTTTTCATCCTTAAAAGCTATAGCCTCTGTTTAAGAAACAGCTTTTGTTCTTTTATAACAAATTTTTCGACTAATTTTCGTTTGACCTTTTTTCGCTTTCCCATTATTTTTTGATCAAATGTAGTTAGGACTTTTAGATGCAAAAGTAGTTTTTTTTCTACATGGCAAACTTTTATTCCAATCTAGTGAAGTGACGAATTAATGCTAAGTTTCGAACATTTCTCATGTACAATAAATATTCATTACGTTTTCCCAAATAGTCTTTTTGATGTGCATGAGGAATATTTTAAGACATACCATGTTTATTCTTGTGTTGTTTATTAACTTCTTTTGATAAATGGTTTCTTCAGATATAAATGATACAGATAGAAAAAAAAACGATAGGCACAGAAACTTTTAAATCATAATGTAAAAATGTTTTAGTATTTTATTTGTGTCTCATTAAAGATATTATTTTACTTCGACTGATATGAGAAATGTTTAAGTTCTTATTTCTAATGTCCGTTTCAAAATATAATGCGTCCCACTGTTTTTTGAATAACTCAAGAATGCAATGAGCTAGAGACCTGCGGTTTTCACCAATCGATAGAGGACTCGTGGGGGCACAAGTCTATGAGCAAGCCAAGAATTGGTCTTGTTTTAAAGGTACCGCAGTTCCTGAATCTTTGAAAGAGTCAGCTATAAAATTATGGCACCTCCGTTGTTTTTTATCGTTNAAGAAATGACTTAATAATTGTTCCATAAGAATCAATCGTTTTTACTAAAAAAAAATGCCAAGAGCTCAAACAACACTCTATTCAAAAACTTGATGGAGTGTTTCGAAAAGATGTCATAGAATCTTGATGGTCAACAACACTGGATGAAATTTGAGCGCTTATACTTTACATTTCATATATTCGTGATCAAAGAGTATTTTGTCTTGCTTTCCTCAAATATGATGAATGGATTAGATTCGATCACAATACTTTCCCTCTTTTTCACTTTAACATAGATGGCACAGCAAACAAAATCTCCTACCCTAGCAGTCAAAAATTAACAAGTAACGCGTTACAACAACCATCATTTTGTCTTAGTTAGCGCATTTAAACTTTGGAGAAATGTTCGATTTTTTACGCTTTAATAGTCGATATGGCTCTAACTTAACCATCGTTAAAATCAGTTGGAGTACAAGTGTTTAAACGGAAAAAATCGGACACGTCTATCGTTTGAACGCGTTCAATGGAAACTTGTACTTACGAAGCAGTCAAGATACTGTTAGACTGAAATTACATATTTTTTCATGAATTAAATTTCCTACTTATATTCAACGAAACTTAATTATATTTCAAAAAATCGATTTATATAAAATTATCAGTTACATTATTTGAATTTTGATCTATTAAAATTGATTTTAATCGATATTTAACCAGAAGTAATAAATAAAAATCATTTCCTATCTTTTTTCTAATGAGGATGATGCATATGGGTTCGAATTAAAATTATTTCTTTTAATTTGACAATGACATATTATGCTAAAATTGTTCAAAATCAAATTTCTACAATCAAGATAATTCATAATCGAATTTGAATGCAAAAAAGCATATAAAGTTGTGCGTGTAAGTATCACAACGAAGTAGCGTGACAATAAAAAAAAAATAATTGCATCGTAGATACTTTGTCGATAGATGATCACGTTTAACAACGTACAAACATATTCTATACAAACATCATATTGATCACCAATGATAATTATTCATTATAAATCTTTCACGCAAAAGCTTGCTTTTTGACATGTGCTCGATTTAAAATTTCTTCCTATTAGTACATATGTTTTTATTCAGTACATAATTGAAATGGGAGCAATTAGCGTTAATAAAATCATAGATGTTTGCTTTAATTAAATTTATTTTTCTTTGGACAGCCTACTGTACAAATCAGTAATAACAGCAATGATTCTCAAATATATTCTTGTTGTGTTAACGCATTAAAATGGACATTTATTCATGTTAAAATGCAATGAATCCCTTGATCCATCGATTGGATACGTTGAAACATGCTTATATATCTATTATTTTCGATAAACACGTTAAAATGCGCTGACAGCAAAAAAAACGTTTTCACGCGTTTACTTCTTTAATGTGCTGAACTAACAAGTTTTAAAGCGTTATTTTCTTCAATTTTCATTATTAACACGTGAAAACAAGATTTTAACCATTTATCTGTCTGCGTGACTATAAATGAAGATCTTTGTACTAAAGACAATGTTAATATTTTAAATAGACAAAAGAGACGAAGAACAGAGTTTCATTTTTTATTTTATACGAATAAATGTCTTAAGCAAGCGAAACTAAGCGAAAGAATTTTTTTTTTCGAAAAATCTTATTCAATGATATTATTCATAATGATCAAAAGTTCAATTACGTCTATGCAAAAAAGACATTCGCCTGTATGTTAATGAAGCAAAACGAAAAAGAATAATTTAAATATTGCATTCATATGTAGGAAAGAAAAAAAAACTAACATTATCTTTCCTCTTGATTGAGGTTTTTTGTCCAAAGGCAAGAATGAGGACATTATATTTGTATTGTGAGGTCAACTTTTTTTCTTTTTTTTTTTTTCTTCCTTATATGAACTATTAGTTGTAATATTCTCAATAAAAATTGTTAAATCCGTCTTGATAATCACTCTGAAGATACGAGATTTTTTTTGCTTATTTAGATTTAGCAACTAGCACGCCCTATACATTTGTCAGGGCATATTGTCGACGATCGTATGAGAATGTGGTCATAACTGACTTTTACTTGTAGAGTAGCAGCTGTTGGATCAAACCTGAACCCGATTAGATCCAGAATTAACTCGACAGGCTCTAGCTGTTAGTAAGATTGCTGACAAGTTGTATATTGCCATGATTGTAACGACAAACTGGATGAGTAGTTTACCGTCATCGTCGGTAATGATGCTTATTACACTTCATCGGATACAACACACGCTTATATAGGAGAGAGGAAAAGAGAGAGATGAACATAGGAAAGAACGATAGAGATAAGATAAAGAAGAAAGAGAAAAGAGAAAAGGAAGATCAGCGGAAGATTATATCAATATCGGCACAATGATTCGATACGCTCATATATGGTTTAGTTTTTGTTTTGTGTCCTTTTGTGTTAAATAGACAAGGCGTAGTTATCGTCCAAAGCCTCGACAAAAAGAATGACTATCACTTACTCTATTTTGTTTATATATTTAAGCGATAGAGAAAGAAAGAGAGAAATCATTGATGCGTTTCTTTTACTACTTGGAGTAGTGATTTTTTTGTCTTCTTCGTTTTCTTTCTCTTTTATATATTGTTAGTGAGCGTCGTTATTTGCGTTATTTTTAGTTGATCGACAAAGCTGGTCATGCCTACGAAACGAATTCAAAAAATTCAAGGCCCTAGCCTTTATAAAATGTTTCTTGATGCTTATATGAAAGCTCGACCTGATGAAAAAAAAGCTGTAAGTTCATTTTTTAATGAAAATAAATAAACAACTTTTTCGTTGAAATAGACAAAACATCGTGGTGCTCAAGCTGAATGGAATGAAATAAAATTGAATGAAGAATATGTCAAAGAAAAAATCGAAGAATATTTAGAAATATATAATGAACTTATTGCACCTTATAATCAAAGTCTTGAATATCCATCAAAAGCTAATCGTATTCGACTAGTAAAAACAGACACAATAGATCAATCAAATGAAACAACAGATCAAGATAATAATGAAAATAAAAAAGATGATGAACGATCGAATGACTGTGACGATTTTGATAATAATGAAGATGATCCTGATGATGATGATGATGATGATGGTGTTGATGATGAAGACGGGGAAGAAAAAAATAAAAAGAAAAAAAAGAAAGCAATTCATAGTATTAAAAAACGTAAACTACAACTTGAGGAAGAATTGACTAAAGATCCGCGAGGATTACCATCTGTACGTGGTGTTCCATTACAACCATTATCAACAGATACAAGACAACCAGCACAACAACGTGTTTTTAGAGAATTAAGTGCAATTAATGATCGTATTGCTTCATTGATACAAGTTAAACAAATGGGTTTATTAACACCAGAAAATAGAAACCAATTGAAACAATTAATGAAAGATAGAAGAGCAAAAACTTTTGAATTAAAACGTCTTCAATCAAAACAAAGAGCTTCAAATAGATATAGAGATAAACGACGAAAAATTGTATTAACACTTTTTTTTTTCTTTTTTTCTTTCTTGTTTGACTTTTTTTATAGGTTGAATATTTATATGAAACAAAGCCTGAGCTACATCCACATTTAAAAAAAATTTATCGTCCTGGTGGTGGTCGACCACGAATTGAAGAACAATGTCCTGATTTATTACAAATTATTGAAGAAATTGCAAAAGTTGATGGAGCAAGTGATGATCGAAGACGATCAGAAACTATTCGACCTTGTTTAACATTAGATGATTTAAGAGAAAAATTGAAACAAAGAGGTTATGATATTAAAAGAACAACACTTTATTATCGGTAAATAATTAAAATGATATAAGAGAGCATCTTTCACTAAATGTATCAACAGTTTTCGAATCATCTTATATAATTGTTTATTTTGGACACATTTTTATGCAATCAAATTAGCTCCGTTCTTACCAGTGATCCCTCTAGAACGAAAAAAAAACGCTTTCATTAAAGCTAAACCCTTGACAACAACAACAACTCATCTTGTTCATATCGAATTGAATATTCCATATAGAGAATGCTAGTGATTAAATCGATCGTAGTTTAGTAGAACAACTTTTTCAAATTCATTGACATTCTTCGACAATTATTTTAAGTTTTATGATGATGACAGTTTTCGCTAAATTGGTTTATACTACTAGATCTTTGACTTTTTTTAATCTGGATAAAGAAAATCCATTCCTCTTCATGTTTGAAAATATGACAGTTAAATGCAATGTCATCCTGAATATTTCAAAGTTAATTAACATGCTTGCTTTTCGTTTGACTTAAGAAAATCGGAACAATATATATATGCACACAAAAATAAAATTATCTATCGAATGATTTTTCATTGTAGGAGAACATTGTGTTTTTTCTTTCTTTACAACGTTGAGCAACATTCGGAAATATTTCTCGAACAATATTACCTGTCGGTAGTTGCTTTCAAAGAAGTTTTTCCATTTATAGTAAACACAATTGAAACATTTTAATCACTATATTCGAAGTAAATTTGATGATGTTGATATTTTTTAAATGATTCTAATAGATGTTTACAGTTTAGGGCTCGATTAGGCTTTTAATTTTCTAATTATTACAAAAAGGGAGTCCTTGTAGCACTGGCACCTATGAGTTAGCCCTAATCCAAGCCAGTAGTTGGACAGTTCATTTGAAAAATTTCAACTCTGATCCACCCATCTAAATTTTATCGATTGACCCAAGGGTCACCCTTGGGTTAATCCATGAAATAATTTATATTTTTAAGAAATGATTTACAAAAAAGCTTGTTCAATGAAGATATCGTCACGATACAGCATATGTGATCAATCAACCCCTCGATATTTATTGTTTGGTCGGGTAATCAAGCGTGACATAGATAAGACGCGTTTAGTCTTCTTTTTTTCTCTCGTTCCTCTCTTTTCTCCGTCGTCGAAGTAGATTTCACTATCTCGCCTATCATGTCATTTGTTTTCGCCTTCTGTGGTTATTCCATGAATTTTTTGCTCATTTTGAATTGAATTTGATATTCAGTAAATATTAGATAGATATTAGATTTTACTTTATTTTCACTAGTAAATTCACTCACTCAAATGGAAAACAGCTTCGTTCAAAAATAAATGAATTCTAAAGCATGTTACTGTCTTCTACGAGAAGTATCAAATTTTTACATATTTGAAGTCAAATTTGAGTCCTGCTCCATTGCAGAGTTGCCTCAAAAGATAAGCTAAAAAAAAGTCATGAGAAAAGTTTGAAATATACATATATAGATCGACGCCATTTGTTGTGCTGATTCCGAATATGCTGCTATCTATTTTGATTGAAAAGTTGATAATGATGACAGAGATTGCTGAGTATCAAATAAAAAAAGATAACTTTTGCCTCTTCACACAAAATTTTCTTTACTTCAAATATATTGACAACTATTTTTGTCGAAAAATTATACATGGATTTATTTATCATGAAAACCTGTATCGACTGATATAAAATTTAGAGTGGGTAAATTCTAATTCAGTACATAGGATGGTTTCTACAAAAGATTGTTATACAGATTTTTGAAGTATTCTTTTATGGCCTATCTATCGGTATATAATTCATGTAGTTTGCATTGAAATGGGGTAATCAAGGACTCTCTATGTAATACTTGAAATCATTAAAATTCAATTCAGCACATTTGTCTACAATCTGTTACCCGTCCTTTGAGTTAAATTGATTTTTTTTTCATTCTTGAGACAACCGAACCTATCTCTTAGCAACTATGAAATTCTTTGACTAGTAGTTCTCTGAGAAAAGAATTTAGATGAAAGTCTCAAAGTCAACAGAAAAGTTTTCTTTGTTGATATACTCGTTCTTTATGAGATATCGTTCGTTTTATTCGTTCATTTTGATACTTATTTATTCAATTTATAAAATAAATCATAATTAATGTTAATTAAAAATGATCCTGATAACAAATCAACCTAACTAAAAACCTAGTGAATATCATTGTGACGATCATTATATTCAGATTCACCTCAAGCTTAAGTTTGTACAAATTTGATTAGAAAATAGCTTAATGTTGCCTAATTGAGTATTTTTGTCGTGGTATTTTCAACTTTATATTGTCGTTCATCTACGAGTATCCAAAAATAAAACGATGTTTTTTAAGAAAATCTGATTGATTGAATGCTGTCAATGTTTGAAATATTTATTATCAAATTTCGATAAAAGAAATAATTTATTTTGATGCTCTAATTGTAAATATGTGCTAATATAAAATTTTCTTGTGTTTTTTTTTTAAATATTTAGTCTGTTACCTCATCGTGCATCATCAAGAGATGGTCGTCGTCATATTAATACTGCTCCAGTTCGTCTTCGTCGTGCTCAAAATGATGATCATGGAAAACATGAAGATGGTCATTTTGCTACAGCAACNGAATTTTTCGGATTTTAAAAGCCTAGATAAATGTTGAAAACACTTAGTTAAGGTTTTCAGCTCAAAAATCTGAAAGCTAAGCATATTATGGTGTAAATCCAGTGGTTGAAGTTGTTATTTTTCGAAAAATTCGATAACTGAATGAGGTCTTATACTAAATCTCGCACATATTTCTCCAAGGGGGTCTTCTATTATGGAAAGCCTTCTAATATAGGGACCTCCTATGGGAAGAGAAGAGTATGCTATTTTGAGAAAAAAGAAAATAGTCGTTCATATAGAGACTGGCATGGCTACCGTGACCGTAGCCGTGACCAAACTGATCGTGACCGTGACGTGACCGTGACCAAAAAACATTGGTCACACCGATGTCTAGTGGGGACCTCAGGGGTGAAAAATTGAGTTGCGAAAAAATACAAAATAAACCCTTGAAAAATAACCAGGGATGAATGATGATTATCAGGATAATGAAACTATGCTGAAATCTTTTGGGACGCCATGATAATAATTGGACACACCTCCTTACATATAGTTGTTCCTAAAGAATGAGCTAGAAGTCCGTGAAGGTTATAATAGAGTTCGTAATATTTTTTCATCAAAGATGTATTCTAACCCCTATACACCTGTTGAGCTAAAAGATGCAAAAAAAAGTCTTCTTCTAGAAAAATGGTTGCCTTCCCACAGATTCACCCATAAAAGAAAATAATAGTGAAACTAGTTTTCGACGGAAAAAAATTTGATCCTCAAAGGTTTGATTCACGTCACAACAGTGGGAAATGAATTCCTAAAACTTGAACATAAACTAATAAAATCAGTGCAGCGAATCAACTTGAAAATTTTGCTCTAGAAAAAAAAGTGATTTGTTATTGTATTATTATTAATAAAAATAACTTCTAACCCGTAGGAAAAACTGTATTGGCGGTCGAATTCGTACTCGAACTAAAATGACTGAGGTCGTATCAATGAATCATCAGAAAAATATTCTTTTATAACACCAATGATAAAAATGGTTCGTAGAGGATGGGCAAATATAGAGATATGAATGACTCATAAAAAGAATGAAGCAAAAAAAAAAGATTTGTACTTTATCGACATGTAAAAGGGAACAACAAAATAGGAAATCTGGTTTTTTTAAAACTCGATTAAAGAATGCTTTTTCTCACTACTATTCTATTATCTATATTGATTGCTTTGATCGTTGCTTATTTATGGCATGTTCAGTCGGCATATGCGTTTTTCAACAAACTGAATATTTGTGGATTATCTCCAGTGCTCTTTTTTGGCAATTTTCTTGATATTATCAACGGTAATCGACAATCTTTAACTATCAAAGAATAGACCAAAAGATATGGTCGTATATTTGGTTATATTGAAGAACATACATAAATTTTAGTTCTATCTGATCCAGATGTTTTACAAAACATCTTTGTTAAATCATTCTCGTCATAATATTTCACTGACTGTTTAAAATTCTAAAGATGTAATCTTCTTACTGATACTGGTCTTCAATGGAAGCGACAACGTTTCATTATTAATCAAACATTTTCATCAGCAAAATTGAAACAAATGACATCACTTCTTCATTGAAGTATTGGGATGATCATGAAAAAAATGTCTGAAGAATATAAAAAGAGGTCAACAATTTGTTATTAATAGATATTTTAAACGATTTACTATGAAAACAATTTAGTCATGTGGTTTCGGTATTGATAAAGATATACAAAATAATCTCAATAATCCATATATAATTCATTTACAACAAATATTTACTGAACAAATATTATTTATTGAAGAATAAAATAAATTTTGAAAAATAAATCATGTTTCATTAAATTATTTTCTCTATTTGTTTCGTCAAGATATTCCTATAATGAAAAACCTTTAATATGGATTGTTAATCAAACATATCAAATGTTTGAGAAACTTCAACAAGTTAATCAAATAAAACGAACTGATTTATTATAATTAATGGTTAGTTTAAAACTTAGAAAAGAGAGAAAATATATATCATCTAAAAATTGTTTTAAACTTTTTTTTAATTGTAAATAAGTTTCTATAATAAAGAGATTTTTATTTTAAATATGATTCAGTACGAATATACAAAAGATAAATTTAAACAATGTTATTGAATTTTTGTTCCATTTTTTCTTTCTTTTTTGTTTTTCTTCCTAATATAAATTGTGCCACAGCAGCAAATACACCTGCAATAAGGCTAATACCACCCAAGATGCCAACTAACCGTGTAGGTCTATTATCCATATTGGTTGACCACGTACAAATAGCAACACCCACTTGAAACATAGAATTAACGATTGAACTCCAAATAATAATTTGAATCCATATAAAATTGTTTGTGTATTTATGACGTCTAAGAAGTTCATCCCGATATTTTTGTTGATAAAGTTGATAAAGATCACGTATTCTCCAAGGAGTAAGACCAATAATGATTATAGAAATCAATCCATTAATAATTTGAAAATCAATTTCCATCCACATCTTTCGTGTTTGTTCGTCAGGCATTGTTTTATCTGCTGCACCTACTGATATGAATAATAACATTCCACCCCATACATTCATATTAATTAGAATTATTACAAAAAAAATTATTTTTATATATTTAAAATTTTTTGATTGAACAAATTTTTTATAGCAACTTGGATCTTTTTCTGGTGGAAACACTATTATTGGATTGAGATAAGCAGTGGCAGAATTAGTTTGATAACTTACGGATTTCGCATCCATTTTGAAAATAATTTATTGTTCTATCTTGGTTAAGAAAGAATTGTCGTAGAACAAATCCACTTTATATTTGTAATGTGTGTAAGGTAAGTGTTAAGAAATAAAATAAGTTTAACAAGGTTTTTATAAATATCAAGATGAGTAATAAAGAAACAGAATGAGTCAAGCGATAGTCCTCACCTTACAACGTCCTTTTATGTCTTCAGGTCGTTGGCATAGACACGCACTTTCGTTTTAATATAAAGTGCACATATAGAAAGTGCAGATACTATCCGTTTGAAAAAATAGTGCACTCCACTGTTTTCCAAATAACTCTCGAACGCAATCAGATAGAGACTTGTGGTCTTCGTTAATCAAAAGAGGAGATAAAGGGACGTCTTTTTTCTAACATTTTACAAGGTGAAAGTACTGTTAACTGCATCATTTCTGCAAAACTTTGCAAAAAATGCAAGAAGACCGCATGTCGCTTTGATGAAATTTTAATAAAAAATAGAAAATTTGCTTAAAAATCAAGAAAAAGATATATTTTTTGAGTGAGAAAACAGATGAGTTTATTTGTTCAACAACAGTCAACAGAGTTATGTCTTTAACTATAGATCTGAAGTCGCTCTATTAAAACTATATGTCAAGAACAAAATTTCATCAGAAAAACATAAGGTTTTCCTGCATTTTTGTAGAGTTTTGCAGCCATGATGCAGTTAACAGTACTTTCGCCTTGTACAATATTAGAGAAAAAGACGTTCCTCCATCTCCTCTTTTGACTAACGAAAACCGCAAGTCTCTAGTTAATTGTATTCTGGACTTATTTGAAAAAACTTGTCAGTGCGGACCCTAGAGGGACCAAAATGAGGAACTCACAAACTCTACTTGTTATGAATTTATAATATGTTGTCAGATGTTTTAAAACAATTCATTTTAAAAAGATATCAAATAACTTAATAAAGTAAAATTATAAGAATTCTTATAGTTGATACGCACACTCTGAAATTTAATCATTTCGAAAATGTGAACACATTACTTTGGATCAGAGACCGTCACAGGACGTTTTTTGTTTTTCGCCATGCCCTGCCCTCAGGGCAGGGCAGGGCAGGGCACAGGGCATATACAGGTTAGAATAATACTTCTAAACTGAGTATGTCTATTGCAAGATCTTAAGCTTCGATAAAACAATGATATTCTCAGGTGCTTTTAGTTACTAAATTCCGTGGAATACCAGGTTTTTCACTA